ATTTTAGTTTTTCTAGGTACATATCTTTTGTTACATATCTAGATCTATATTATGTTTAGATATATAGTAAAAAACTAGAAAAGCCAAAACGACTTAGCTTATAGTTTGGAATAGAGAGATTAGTAGATTAAAACCATTGTATTGGCACTCGATCCATTGTTGCTAATGATAACCTCCTTTTGTTGTCTCGGCCGATCCTGTTGAAATTATATATAAAAATTTTGTTCATCCATAAGTTCTTTTTAAGCTTGATCAGTGGCGGAGCTTGAGCTAAAATAGAGGGGCCAAGTATTAAATGGCATTGTATTATGAAGGAAATTCATGATTATTTTATAGTATAACAAGCTCATAAGGTACAAATCTATTGGTGAATCACCTATGGGCTATGACATCATTTCAATTCTGGATAGATTCACCCTTGATCAAAGAAATCTCTTAGCTTGGTACTTCAACGCGCTTCTTAAACCACTAAGGGCTTGTTATTTGGCTACACTTATCTTCATCTCAATCCACGTGTGCTTAGAGTGAATTAGAGATTGAAATTAATTTTTTTGCTAAATCCACCTTAATACGGGCTTCTTTGGTTAATTCATAATCTAAGCGGATTAGAGAGGATTGGGGGAGATTTTGACTGTTGGGATAAAATCCTCATCATGACTTGTTTGGATACACTCGTATTCACATCAATTCAGGTCCTATTTGGATGTCCATGTATTCACATCAATCCACATGTGTTGAGGTAGATTGGAGTGGAAATTAGTGTAGTTTCCACCCCAGTCCACCTCAGCAGATGAGGTAAATATATGGGCATCCAAACAGGCCATGTGGGTTGCAGTGGATTGATGTGTAAATTAGTTAATTTCTCACCGCAATAGTTGCAGATTGAGTTAGATATGAGTGTATCAAAACTCCTCAATTCTCTTTAATCCCTGAGGGATTAACCAAACAAACTCAAGTACATGTGGATTGTGGTGCACTCTGGTGCAGCCAAATAAACTGAACAGTCAGAGGATGTTGAATATTTGCTTCTACTAGAAGGCCTGGACACGAAATGAAGCATGTACAGGTGCCGTCCAGCCCAATCAAAATGACCCCAAATCATTAGAGATATGCGTCAATTGCTTGAAAGATGCTCTGATTGCGAAGCTAAGTACCAGTACTATTGATGCTTACAGCCAACAGCTGGCTATACTATTTGCTTGAAAGATGCTTGCGAAGCTAGGTACAGGTACTGTTGATCCTTACAGCCAACAAACGATGTATTATTAGCCTTGCTCTTAGGCCATGGATCCGTGCGTGCACAATCGCGCATCCTATATGTAGCATGAAATTAAATAGCCTACTAGTACTTGTTGGGCCAATAAAAAATTAATACCTCATTATGTAAATAAAAATTTAATACCCCCTTATCCAAATCTAAACCGTCTAGATGATTAGAGCAAGTATAATAAATGATTGTTAATAAGTTTTGAGGTGGAGGAGAGACAAGGAAAATAGGCTATAAGTTATATAGGCAACTGAGACACAAGAACTGGGATTGCGTGCGCACTTCCCGCAGCGAGATGTTGTGGCAGATCATGGTAGGAACGGAGATCTAGGCAGGCGGTTGGTTTTCTCACACCCGTCACCCCTATAAAACCTCTGCCAAGCTCGTTTCTTCACGATCTTGCGTCCGGCTTGGTTCCCATCTTCGTGCTTGGACTTTGCTTGATATCTTGGGTCTTCTCTTGTGCTTCTAGGGTCTTGCTTATGGTGTTGATCGTGGGATCATCATGTCGCCTTCGTCCAAGTCACCTCTTGCACCCTATTGAAATACAAAATAATTATTTGCAAATTCATTAGTCCAATTTGGTTGTGTTGGTCATCAAACACCAAAATCCAAAGTAAATGGGCATAGGGTCCATTTTCCTTACAGCTTCGTCCTTATCCATCTATTCTTTAGCAATGGCATACAAGTTCTCAATACATTCCAACCATTGTCGTTGCTCTTTTTGGTCATCCTTGTGGCCTTCATGATTGCTATACTTTGATTGTCTTAGCAGATTTCAAGGGTCATCATGACACTTAGGAGAGAGCATAAGAGGGATCATCGAGGTCAAGGATGGGTTGAAAGATAGGTTCAGATGAGACATCTAATGTGGACATAGAAGGGGAGAGGATTGGAATGGCTTCTAGATGGCTCAGCTCTCCTTCTATGGCATTACTTAAAATGCCATCCTTGAATTCTTTCCAATGTCCTATATGAGAATAAGGACGCTTTCTAAGAGATCCCTTCTTGAGAGGATTTAAATTATATTCGCTCGAAGATCTGTTATGAAGATGAGAATTTAATGTTCTCCCAAAATCAACACCAAAGAGGTCATCCTTAATTTTAACAGGGATTTCCAAAGGTGGAATTACTTCTTCTCTTGGGGGATTTTGGGGTATTGGTGGTTTAGAGTTGATAGCTAAATCTTGGGATTAAAGTGGTTGTGATTTGGCTATCAGAACTTCCTATAGGTGTGAGTATAGGTTTTATCATCTTCTTCCGAGAAGGATTTATCCTGTATCAATTTTATAAAATACGGGCACAGCTCATAGCCAGGTGTTAGGATAGGCTCTATAGATTTTCGTGGCTCTAGGCTTGCGCTCGTGGGTTTAGCATATTGATAGATAGGCGTGAAATCCATGCCAAAAGAAAAAGTAAAGAAAGAATAAAAGATAAAATGTTAAGATAGTCTCAAAGTTAATTCAGCAACTGTTTCTCCAGCAACGGTGTCAGAAAGCTTGTTGGTATATTTAACGCGCACAGATAAATTCGTAAGCGCACGGATATCGTTGTAGCTTTCACCCAGAGGTATTCCAAATATCGTATCCACAGGAAAATGTGTGAGACTAACTATGGTCTAATCTAACTATGGGTAGCAACAAGGTTAGGATAAATAGGAGCGTAGAGAGGATAATCAAAGTCTTTAGTTCTGACTTGGATAAGCTTATGTCTTCTACTATTCAACTGAGGACATTACTAGGGAAAAGACACCAGCAGAGAATGCTTTCCTTCGCAACCGTGTCCTACGTGCGCCTACAGACAGGAGGTATAAAGCACCACGCTTACACTTACGATTAATACTCTACTCCCTCTAGAACAGGAATAAAGCACTCAAAAGAGTCGTGATCCTGATGAACAATATAAACAAGATGCTTACTCGAATTAGAAGTTGATTACCAGAGATATCTCAAAGGCAAGCTCAAGTAGAACTTGGATCCGCCAAGGTACAAGCCATAAAGAGAGCACCGACAGGCCGGCACCTCCTCCAAACTCTTCTCTCACTCTCTATCTCACTATTTCTATTCATAAGACTAGATTATATAGAGGACTAATCTTCTCTTGATAGCTAGCTCTGATTCTGACGAGGAGAATATGAATTAGGGTTTCAGGATAGCTCCAGAGAGGGTGGCAGGGGCTGGTATATATTGGCCGGAGCGTCCAACGTGAGCCCTTGGATCAAACCGACTTAAAGAATGGCATAGATGCAACCTAGGAGGTGGTGGAGAACCGATATAGCAATAGGAGGCTGAAATGGGGGGCCCACAGGTCAGGCGGGCTCTAGCTGGGGCCGAGTGGCCCCACATGTCATAGACACGTGCTCCGCTTCGGTGATTCACCTTCTGGAGTCTTCTAGAGTCTTCCCACGTCGATTACGCGGCGGAATTCTATAATTTCCTTTGACGAATAGATCCCCCTTGACGGTTTTCTAGATAAACCCTGCTGAAAACACAGATTCACCAAAACTCATGGAATTTATTAGTTTAAACCCCTATACCTATGTTGGGTGATGGAATTAAGTATAAATACAAGTTGTGTTAACGTTTTATAATTGATGTTTAGTGATCGTCAACAGAGCCCAATTGTGAAACGTTGTGTAAAAGAATTTGTGTAGTAGTGTGACATCACAATCACCTATGTAGATTTTATATCCTTTGACATTTTTTCTTTGCTTTTGAACCATATTTGAATCTTCAACTATGTTTTCATTAGAACCATTTAGTTTGAATTGGAACTTTGTGTTCCCTCTCAAACGCATCTGTTTGCTTTGCAAAGTGCCACCACACATCCCTCCCTTCGACACCACCACTTTCGCTACCCGTGTCCCGACTTACTGAATTTGTGAATTTTAGTACTATTTTTGTTTTGATCAGTATGATGCCTTGCATATTTGCTATTATTGCGAGTAGTTGAATCACACGTGCACATACATGTCATCATGAATGCTTTGCTACAATTTTTCTAAATTAAATTAAATATGAAAATGCAATAAATATCCAACAATCCAAAAACATAATTTTAGACATTTTTCGATTAGTGGTTTTACTGATGTGCTTAAGGTAAATGCATTTGATGGTTCAAACTCTAAGCGATGGTATGTAAAGATGGTCCTGTGGTTGACGACTATGAGCGTTACTAGATTGTGGATGCTCCAGGTGGTGATTTATCATTTATGTAGGGAAGAGTGAATTGTGGTGGAGGGATGGGCTCGGGGGCCTGTGGCATCCCCCAACATTTTGGTGCCCCCACAGTGCATTCTTAGTTAGCATGTTAATCTCTAATTTGTTAGTTAACTATTCTAATTAGTGCTTTTATTGCTTGGTCTTGCTCGGTACCAATAAACTCTAATGGTGTCTATCTTGTCATATATATATTTGTATCGGAAAATAAATTTTTACTTTGTTGTTATCTATATTCTTGTCATGTATATATTTCATCGCATATGATCATTGTCGGCTTTGAACAATCTCCATGTTTAAATCCTAACTCTACCCTTAAAAATGAGTCGGAGCGGGTAGGATCCCGGCCAAATGGCCCCGTACTGTTGTTGGAGTTGGAGATGCCACCTTAAAAACGAGCTGGAACGGCCGCGCTCCCGTAAGTTCCTCTCCATCGGCACCGTAACACTACCAGATCTAAACTTATATCCAGGCATACACTGCAGCTGCAGCAGCACGTACAGTGCCACAGTCCAATGGATGAGCTGGTCTTCCCTGCCTCCTCCAGCAGCTGTCCTTCCCCGGCCTCGTTCTCCAACGCCGGACACCACCAGGAGCACGAGTTCGTGCCCTGTGATGTCCTGGAGGGATGGCTGGGGGGCGACGACTGGCTGGACGAGCCCCCAAAGGGCGTCAAAGTCACATGGGGTGGCGAGGGCTCGCGCTCGCCGGGCAACGACCACCTGTCCGGCGAACCGGCAGCACCTGCGCTGAAGAGGCGTGGCAGGAAACCAGGGTCCCGCAACAACATCAACGGCCCCGCCCTCTGCCCTGTGGAGGCGGAGCGGCAGCGGCGGGACAAGCTCAACCGCCTCTTCTGCGAGCTCCGGGCCGCCGTGCCCACCGTGTCCCGGATGGACAAGGCATCCGTCCTCGCCGACGCCACCACCTACATCGCCCAGCTGCGTCAACGCGTTGAGCAGCTCGAGGTCGAGGCCAAGAAGAAGAGCCCCCCCCATGCTCGCGCTCCGGTCGCTGGACCTGACCGTGTCGCACGCGTGCGTGTGCCTCGTCGGCGGCATGACCGTGCAGGACGCCGTCGTGGAAGTGCCCGCCGCGCTGCGGGACGACCGCGCCCTTCGCGCCGCGTTGCTCCACAGGCTGCAGCGGACCAGCTAGCTAGCCTCTCGTGGTCGGCAGGTTTGCGCTGATCCGTCGCCAAATAAAGCACTTGTGTATCAATCTCACGTTTCACGGCTGGCTTGACTTGAGACACTCTGCATCAATCCAAGCTGGCTGCATGTTTAATTTGTCGTGTTTAAACGTATTTCTTGGAAAGTCTTGGATTTCGTTTCCATCTAAACTAAATCGAGGAACTTGCCGATAGAATACGTACGGTACCTTCGACTGTGGCTTTAATCACAGTTTATATATGTGCTCCTAGTGAGGATGCTTTCAGCATTGTTCTTGTGTTCCTCTTCTGAATTTCGTGTTCTATGCAGGTGTTGTGTTTTGTTCACACGACAGTCTATTTATATATATTCCTGATCCAGGCATATTGTACACGAGGTCATTTTATAATTTATACAGTGATATAGACTAGTATTATCGACCTGCGCATTTGGTTAACAAACTTCTCTTCTTTTCAGGACATGCCGCTAGTTGCTATATTGCTTAATTGTTTTCCAACACATCTCTTTTGGAGTACTATTTGTAGTATTGTGTAACCTTCTGCTGAGTAATAAGTTCAATAATAAAATAGAATACATATATACCGTATCTCATAAACAGACAACTAATAATTAAGGAGAGAGTTTTGTTTCGGTGGTTCTCTTTTACAAAATTGCACGAATCTTAAAGCACCAGGGTGGTTAATTATAATTAATTTTGTTTTGGAACTAGATTGGGCCGGTCCTATCCATGCCCAAAGAAAACCCAGCCCTCCACGTACCACAGCCCAGATTCCCCATGATCTATTGATCTCTCATCTCCCGTTGTCCCGTAGCAGGGCATTTCTGCTACGAACATGCCTTATCGAGAGGGCGGACGGCGGCATGAGCGATCGAGGCGCCTTCCCCGCACTGCATTCGGGCACTGGCGCACGGACGGCGGCGGACGGGGCGAACGGTGAAGGCGGCAGTAGATGGGGGCGCATGGGACTGGCAGTGGAATCTGCGGCGGCAGACGTGACAGAGCGGGTGGCTTCACTGTCCGATTGGCTCCGGCTCAACCTCCCCTCGTCGTGGGTGATCCCATGACAGATTGGAAGAACAAAGGTGCTCCTGAGAGCTGGTCAGATGTCTGAATTAGATGCAAGAAGAACTGAAGTGCGGAATAAGCAGCTATAGCCGTTCAGAGTATATACGCCTTCCAGGATGCCACGTTGATCTTGCCATGCTTGAATCTCTACAGATCATAAGCTGCTGTCTGATCCCAAGTTATAGCTGAACGTTCCACAGTTCGACTTGGAGCCCAAAGGCAACTCCAAATGACGGATCTGACAGGCTCGTTCTGGCAGCTGCGTCATAGGGAAGGCCGCAGGGCTGCGGAAGTACCACGGCGATAGCGATTGGCCTCGGTCGTTGGGTGGTGCCCCCGTAGCCCGTCGGTTCTTCGCCGATGCCGCCCGTCCCGTCCTGTCTGCCGTCAGCCGCAGGTGGCACCGTCCGTCCCGTACGTCTGCGGCCACCCGCAGGTGGTGCGGTCCGTCCTTTACCCACTACCGGAAACAATCGCTTTACCGTGTGCCAAGGCCCAAAAAATATTCGGCAAAGAATTTATTGAGTGTAACACTCGACAAACAGCACACGACATCTACGGTGCCGGCAAACGGCTTTTTGCCGAGTGTTTTCTATCGGACATTCGGCAAAGACTTTGCCGAGAGCTGAAACCGACGCTCGGCGAAAAAAGTAACGTGACGGAGTGGAGACGGTCACGGTGCGCTTGCCGAGTGTCAAATCTCAGGCACTCGGCAAACCTTCCATCTTTGCCGAGTGTCAAATTCTAGGCACTCGGCAAAGTTCAGTCACTCGACAAAGCTTCTTCCTTTTCCTTTGCTGTCTGTCAAAGTTCAGGCACTCGACAAAGCTTCTTCCTTTGCCGTGTGTCAAGTTCCAGGCACTCGGCAAACCTTTGTCCTTTGCCGAGTGTCGAATACCAGGCACTCGGTAAACACGTCCTAGAATGCACAGAATTTTGGCTTCTTTGCCGAGTGTCATAGCGCAGACACTTGACAAAGAAGTCATTTTAGTCCCAGAATGCACAGAATTTTGCCACGTGTCCACTTTACCGAGTGTATTTTTCATGGCACTCGACAAATAGCCCTTTTGTCGAGTGTAACACTCGGCAAAGCTGCCACATATAGTCAGTTTATTTGGTTCAGTCACAGCCACATACCACATTCAAATAAACATCACATCCATCATAGATAATTCACAATAGGCATCACAGACAGTTCATATAGATATATCGACAACACATTAATGCAAATAAACTTCAGAATCATAAGTAGGTTCATTCACAACCATAAATAGTCACAAGTAGTCACAGATAATCCACAAATGCAAATAAAATCACTTAGGCCACGAGTTCCACTGTGACCACGCTGGATCATAAGGCTCATTCGATGCCGCCGATTGATGCTGCACAAAGGAGAAGACATTGCATGTGTGAGACAAGATTAAACAACACGTATGGTCTCTCTACTGCCTAACTAGTATAACCCTTGCAACTATCAACAATATCTTCTCAGTTGCACTATGCTCTAGTATGATTGTTTAAGTACTAGTTGGTAACAAACATATAATATTAGTCACTAAGTTTCTAGTGTCTGGGCATCTTTATAAGATTGATTCTGCATAAACTAGAAACGGTAATTATAAGGTTGTAAAGTGACTCACAGTGCCTAAAATAGTATTTGAAGCAGGTTGAGGAGGAAGGACTGGCATCGGTGGCGGATGTTGACCGATTGCAGCATAAACACCCCTCATATGTTCAAACATCTGCAGCTCCATCCTCTGCCTTTCTGCCTCCATCCTATGCCGCTCTACCTCCATCCTCGCCTCTAGCTTCTCTCGGCGCCTCGTTTCTTGTTCTAGCTGAGCCTACAATATTTCATCCAAATGTTACAATGCAATGCAAAAGTATGTAAAAATCAATGAACGATGAATAAAACAGAAATAACTTGGAGTGTGTTCATCTAGAACCGTGTAAAGTCCGGCCGTGGGTGTATCGCCGGACTGGAACCCGTGCTCCGTGCTCGAATCTGGGAGAGAGTGGGAGTACTGGCCGTGTCGATTGTGTCATCGCCAATCCAGAACCGGCCATGCTTCTTGCCTCCTCCTGCCCTCATGACCACTTCTCCATCAAGGTCATGGGCGCTCGGATCGTACTCGGGCCATGGACCACCCTTGCCATCGATGTGTATCCATCGAGGCGGCTGTGGACGAACTCGTTGTTGTACGCCGACGGTGGGTCCTTCGGGTTGTAGGCGATGTCGGACGTCACCTTCCCCTTGTGGGCCAAAGCATATGCCATGATCTAGGAGCAAGGCTCGCCACCATGTGCCGCCGACTGCAAAAAAAAGTAATATGATTAGAAATTATGCAGAGTCGAGCATTAGAATAAAGAAATGAATTCACGTACCCATCTAGCCACGTATTATGAGAGGTTGAGGTTTCTTTGTTGGTGTGATGCACCCGGCATTAGCAAACGCCGCTCCCGACAAGTGTTGTGATTCTCCTCCCATGCGAGGTCGCACCACCTGTCCACCATCTGGGCCTAGCACTACAGATCATAGGCGCACCACCACGGTGGCACCTACGTCATCAAGTATATGACATATAAGAAGATGAAATTAAGCATAATTAATCTCAGAAAAAATAAGTATTAATATTCTATATTTACCTTCAGGTATTGTTCCGGGGTCAGACTCATGGTTCTTGCTGCCCTTTTAGGGATCCTCTCTCTAAGAAATTCTACGTGGAATTGGAGCATGGCCTGGTTGCGCGTCTCGTAGTGCATGTCCTTGACGAGTTTCTTGGCGGTTTTGTCAGCCACAACATCCACCTTGGCCTTGTATCCCTCCTCGCATCTAAAGAAATCCTGCATATAGACGCGATGTATCCAGTCATTATTTCAAGAATGTCCAATCAATGCGATGTATTGAGCAAAGTAGTGCAAGAAAGACTTACCCAAAGCTCGGCCTTGACACGCTGTGCCTTGTCAGCGAATACCCTGCCATCCCGATCAGGGATCTCGAGGACAGTGGCATAGTGGGCCCACGTGTAGGCCGGCTCGACAGTTCTGCCGAACTGCACCAGGCCAGGGAACTTTTCCTTGATCAAAAGACCAAGGATGCCATTCACATGGCGTGCGTGATCACCCCCGTCGACCTTCCTCCAACCCCTATCGAAGTGATTAAGATAAATTATTAATTTCTATTGTAATTTTGAACATATCAAACGAAAAATTAGTGATAACATATAAAGTTACTTACTTGTCTCCATCGGGTCGAATCAACGGGCTTCTCTCAAGAGGTATCGGTCGCCTCGAGAGGGTCAAGGGACCTCTCAACCACACACGCGATGAAGTAGAGGAAGAGGTACCCCTTGTCTCCTCCTCCATCCCTGCCTCCTCCTCCACCCCTGCCTCCTCCTACTCGACCCCTGCCTCCTCCTCCACCTGTACCTCCTCCTCAGAGGATGAGTGAGCGGAAGGTAACTCAGACGGTGATGAAGGTATAGGCGACAGTGGCCTCGTCTTGCCTCCACCCTTCCCTCGACCCTTGGGTCTACCCCGAGGTCTCTTCTCGGACCCCTCAGCTACATTGGACCCTTTACGCATCACTGTCGCTTTTGAGTAAAGCGACGTTATCCTCCTCATACCGCCCACCATTGTTCAATCACCTGTAATTAAAAAAAGTACACCAATTAGCACAAATAATACATCAAAATAGATGCAAAATAAACAAAATATACTTAGAAAATAACATGGTATGACAAATAATAAATCAATTAGCATGGATCATACATGTATTAGAAATAATCATCATCATCGGGATTAGCTGGATCATAGGTCTCATCATCACTATCACGCATGTCGATATAATCATCCCCGTGCTTTGAAGGAGGAATGTCGTCATCATCGTCGTTGCTTAGATGTAATTGCTAAAGTAATTCTAAGTCCTTCACATTCTGAACCTCGTCTCCGGCGTCCTCGTCAGTGCCACTTTCATTGTCTACTTTCATACCCTGAGCTTCGATTAAGTCTATCTCAAAACTCCCTTCGAGCCCATCTTCTTGAAAGAACTATCTGTCATATGTGTTGGGGTCTATGTTGTAATCTTGATTGTTTGGGACAGGTAGTTTTCCGTGTGGCGATACTTTGTACACAACATCCCAACCCTTAAGACGGTCTACAGTTTGGCACGAGTATGAGAGATAATAAACTTGTGTGGCATGTTGAGCCACAATATAGACATCGTCTCCTGGTAAGATGGATGATTATCGAATTTCGACTAGCCCAAGATTAGGGGTCCGCCTCACTACTTTAGGATCAAATCAATGGCATTTGAATATAACGGGATTAAGAGGTTTGCAACCATGAAACATGAGTTCGTATATTTCTTCAATTCTTCCATAGTACTCAACCCCATCTAAGCCTTGCGTAAAAACTCTAGTATTTGTGGTTCTTCGATTGGGCCGACTCTACTCATGGCTTGTTGTGTGAAAGCGATATCCATTCACATCATAACCGGTAAATGACCTGACCCTATAGGCACAACCATCGGCAACCTGTCTCAACTCGGCACTCATAGACGCATCGGTTTGTCCCTACAAGTTCAAGCAGGGTAGTTCATTATATTAGTCGCATGTACGAGCAACTTGTAATGTCAAACTAAGTACGAGCCAAATAGACAGTACCTTCTGTTTGAACTAAGAAATGAAATCGGGCATTCCATTTCTTGCACCCTCTCTAAGAAGGGTCGAAGTTTCCTGCGGGGTAGGTTCCCTTGATTCACGCCAGAATGGTTCCTAAAATTCCTTGTACCAACGAGAAACAAGGGAGTTGGACACAGAATTGTGACTACTTGAGAAATAGTTTGTTGTGAACTTACATCATGTATGGCTCCACTTCGGATAGGTTGGTCAACACATATAGCATAATAGTGCGCCACTCTTCATGTTGCAAGGTCTTGTTAGTCGCACCACTTGCACTTCCTAGTTGCCCTCGAAAAATGTTAAGGTTCGATTCATCT